GCGCCTTTCACGAGCTACTGCTTCGAGTACATGGGCACTTTTGTCCCCGTAGTGTTGGCAACCAGAGGTAACTGGCTTACAGCAACGTCCCGGAACAGTTTCCGGGATTGTTAATGACGATTAGAAAATCTTTGTATTTTCGAGTTGTATAAAAAGGAATGATTATGTCAGTAACCAAAAATTATCGTCTATTTTATCGTCCAATTTTAGTAGTTTTCTGGTAACAAAATTGTAAACTTGAGGCAAACACGGATAGGAAATGTGGCAAATAACAACGATCTGGCCGGATATTTCAATCTTTTATCTGAAAGATCAAATATTTTAAGTGAGAATTATGCAAAAGGGTACCCGGTTATTGGCATAAGGGTTAAAGGTGGTACTAGTAGAGATGATGTCAGAAACAACATTCTAATATGTCAGTTTTATTTACTTCATCGTAGAAACACCATTGTGCCGCAACAATTTAATTACTTGAATGTGGGAGAGACACTGTACTTAAACAATCTTGTTACTTCGTCGTAGAAACAACATTGTTCTAAGCCAATTTTCTTTCTTCAACATAGAAACAACATTGTACTAAAACAATTTAATTACTTGAACGTAGAAACAACACTATATTAGAATAATCCCATTACTTCAACGTAAAAACAACATTGTACTACAACAATTTAATTATTTGAATATAGAAACAACATTATACTAAAACAATTTAATCACTTGAACGTAGAAACAACACTGTACTGAAACAATCTCGTTACTTCAACATAGAAACAACGTTGTACTACAACAATTTAATTACCTAAACATAAAAACAACATTGTACTAAAATAATCTCATTACTTTACAACAGAAGAAACATTCTATTAGAGCAATCTCATTACTTGAACATAAAAACAACATTGTATTACAATTTGATTCCTTGGACATAGAAACAACACTGCACTGAAACAATCTCGTTACTTCATCCTAGAAGAAATATGCTATTAGCGCAATCTCATTACTTCAACATAAAAACAACATTGTACTGCAACAATTTAATTATTTGAACATAGAAACAACACTATACTAAAACAACCTAATTACTTCACCCTACAGCTAACATTCTGTTAGAACAACCACACTTGATCATCATAGACGAGACATAATACTAGAGCAATCTCGTTACTCAACCATAGAATCAACACTATATTAAACCAACTTGACTTGATCGTACAAACAACATCGTACCAAAACAATCTCCTTACTTCACCACACAAACAACGTTTCCGAAAATAGAATTCACACCGTGATACAATTCTGCGATCGAGAGAATCGACAACGTTACACCGACAAAGTACGAAGAAAAAAGAAAAATCAATTATCTCACACCTTGAAACACCGTGGAGAGCACATTCTCGAGGTAGAAGAACTTTCCCTTGGAAAACAATTTACACGTTGAAGGAGCATAAAGCGGCGCCAAGCCAGCTGGGGGCCTCTCTTTTTCTGTCGCGCTCGATCCGGAGCGCGTGCTCGGTTTTACACGGAGGAAATCGCGGCGGACAAGCTCGCAAATCGCTCGCGGGACTTTAAATCCCCGTTTCGTTGGTTACGTCGCGAGACTCGTGTTATTTCTCTTCCTCTTCCTTTTTCCCCTTTTCTCTCTCTCTCTCTCTTCTCTCGTTTTATTTCTTCTCGTTTCTTTTTCGTTGTTTTTCCCCCACGGCTTCGGGGATCCTCTCTTTCATAGCGGAGCGAATCGAGCCAGCGCAGCGCACCACGGCGGTCTTTCTCGACGTCTGGTCCGATTACGCGCGCGGAAATATTCACGGAAATGACGATGCCGACGGAGGCTTGGCCCGTTAAACGCCGATGAAAACCGATTTCCGACGCGGAACTATAAGGCGAATACTCTGTTCGATTAATCCTCGCTGATCCTGCTTATCGAGCTTTTCGAGCCATTTGAGAAATCCAATTTTTAAAGAGGAGAGAGGAATTCTGCTGGTGTATCGACGTCAAACAGGTGGAATTGGGTGTTTGCGAAGGATATCGTGACGTTAATTCTGCAATTAGGTAACTGGAAAATTGACGTTTCTTGGAGATGACGTTTCTCGAGGTAGTTGAAGAATTTAATTATGAAAAGGGAGAGAAAATTGTGTATTGACGTGTATATACGCCTTCATAGGAAATTAGAAATTGTATTTAGGAAAGATATGGTCACTTTAATGATATAATTAGACAATTTGAAAAATTGATATTTTTTGGATGAAATGTCTAATTCTGCTTCGTCCTGATTTTTATTTTTCGAAGCATTTGAAAAATCCAATTTTGAAAGAGGAAGAGAATATTGTGTCGACTCTTTAGTTGCCAAAACTATAAAATTATAAATTTACAAAAGATATCATCGTCTTAATGCTACCGAGATAATTAAAAAAATAACATTTTCTGGATAAATGTATCAAAAGTCGTATTTTCCTCGCAACAATGGTACGATAAAGGTAGACAACTCTTGCACTATATCTTAGAATTATATTTGCAAATGTGAAAAGTAGATAAGTCCAAAATTCATTTCACCTTTAACCCCTTAACATATGGCAACGCGTCAGACGCGTGGCAGAGATTTTGGCGAAGATGTGAGAAAACTAGTTATATTAGTAAGAAAAATTCATCGCAATCCTAACTTTCGTTTGAATTTCTAAGACTAAGGATTCCTAAATGTAATTAATCTGTGACAGATTAATTTTTGTTACCTGATACAGTACTAAAACAGAAAATGGCTGACGCTTAGATGCACAGTCGGAAAAGAAATCATATGTTAAGGGGTTAATGCTAAAATTGTAATGAACTCGGTTGTTCTGCTCTTCAATTTGAGATGTTTATCAGTTTGAATAAATTAGAATACAACGAATTTGATTAAAAAAATTGATTACTCATAAAACAGATGCCATTTAATAAATCACTTAATGTGCTAAATATCATACATCTCTGAAGAGAATACGCCACCTTTCACGATGAATTATGTTCTTCTGTGGCGCACCGTAGCGAACCAGCTAAAAATGCATCAACTTTCTAACTTTTTAGCGTGAACAGTAATATCGCGAATCTATCGTAAACGTCTAAGCCCGGCTGTCTCGTAAACGAACGATCAGAAGCGGCGAGATCGTGTTGAAACAGCCTCCAATATGTATATACCGCATCTTCTTAATCAGCCACGATCCGATATACGCCTCGAAACAAGCTTCGGCTAATTTCTGGGAAAAATATTAACGTCAAATATTGACGTGACCCGGTATATCGGTACACTACTTCCGCACGGTGAAATATTTTCATTGTTCACATCTAACTTTTCCGACAAGTAGGTCGAAACAGGGAGAGGAAGAAAAACAGAGAAATAGGAAGAAACGAAGAAAAGTAAGGTACGAAGGTACAAAGAAGAGCAAAACACGAGAAAAAGACGAAAAAGGTGACGAAGAAGGGTGTGAATCGAGGGAAAGTGAGAAATTCACTTGAAACGCGTTAAAAAGCGCGTGACGGCGGGAAGTCTCCTGGAATATTGGCCTCATTTGCGATATACTCGAAACGCTAACGATCTGCGCATCGTACGGCTCTCTTTCGAGGGTTGATGACACTCGAGAGAGGCCTTAACGAAGAAACGTTTCCACTGAAACCCACCGGTTTCTTCGGTGTGTTAGGGTACCACGAAATTAGTTAGGCTCGCGAATTATCGTACCGACTGATCGATAAGACCCCGTTCCTAATTACCCGAGACGCGTGTTTCACCCGCGTAATTTCTCCTCCGCGTTGCAGCCGCGAGTGCAACGGTAATTTAAGATGTAACACGGAACGCGGCTAATTGGTCAATATTTGATGTTTCCCCAGGAAACTGGAATAACAGCGGCTAATTCGAATGAAGCGTTAAGAGCGTAAACGAGTCTTGGAAAATATTGCAACACCGGCTCTGCCGCTACCGCCTCGCTTTCGTAACGAAACAAACGCCATTTTATGGTTTATATTTTAATTAGAAGGGATTGCGGGAATTAAACATATCTTCTCGCTCTTTTTATCGTTTTCGATATGTTGTTTATAGTGAAAATCTTGATTCGCGAAGAACGAATCTTCGAAATTTTAGGTTATGTTATGCGAAATGTCGTTTTTAAAATTCTAATAAAAAAGCTACCTTTGACTTTAAGTTGACACGAAAAACGCTCGGAAGTTTCAAACACTCGAGCGATCAGTTCGAGTATGAATAAAAATCCGAAATTTCATTCGACACAACCTAACAGTAAAACGAAAAGTTCAGATTTAAAAACTTCGAGGAGCGTCAAAGACGAACATCATTCAACGTCGAAAAGTAACAAATTAGTAACTAGACCTGAACCTAACCTCACTTTTCCTAAATTTTTAACGATTAGTAAACCTAACCTCACTTTTTCGAAATTTCTAGTGATCACTAACCTAACCTCATTTTTTTTTTCTAAATTTTTAGTAATTAGTAACGTGACCTAAACTTAACCTCACTTTTTCCAAATTTCTAGTGATTAGCAACCTAACCTAAAAGAAAATTCAAACCTCTTCAATTACGCAATCTAAACTCTACGAAAAGTAAAATAAGAATTCGAATTCATCGTAAGAGCGTAGGAAACTGTCGAACTTGGATCGAACGATTAGAAATTCGACGATAGAGAAGGAAAAGGTGAATTTCTGATAAAGAGAGCTTCGCGTTGGCCGTTCGGTATGAGGCGAACTCGAAGCCAGAATAAAACCGCGCAATTAATGGACAACGAGTGGAGCTATTCGGGATTCTTATTATCTCGGCTCGTACATCGTCCGCGGTGTTATTAACAGCCGGCGCAATTGCAGTCCGAGGCGCGGGCAACTTTCCAACAGGGCCCGCCTCTTAAAAACGACACTTAAATCCTGTTACGCGCCACCGATAAAGCTACCGAACAAGCCACCAGATCCGCTTAATTACCCACGCATGCGCGATACGCACTCTGGTCTTCATTCTCTCTTTTTCAACCCACCTTGTCACCCTCTGCGTGGCGCCACCTAGCACCGATCCTTCCTCCTTCAAACTGGGATAGATCTGAAAGAAGAGAAATATCGATCGCTTTAAATTTAGGTCGAAAAGATAATTGTACTTAGAGTAAAAAGGATTTCTGTGAATGGGAAGAATGGATCTTCTCTCTTTTCTTTTTCAAGCACCATTTTGAAGTACTTTAGAGGGAAAATGGGTAATTTTAACCTCTTAACTGCGTTCCCCTTTGGAACAGAATTTTTTTTTTATTTCAGTAGCAAGTATTACTTATTTCAATTTATTAATTTTACTGATTTGCTGCTACTCATAGCGGAAAATGTTTCAGACGAAATTCAAACGGTGTCGAAGGGGGCATATTCCGGCGTTATTAATTCTTTCACTTTCGTCTGAAACATATTTCGCTTTGAGTAAGAATAGCGAGAAAATCAAGATGTCAAAATCAGCCGAGACACCCTGTATACTAGTTAAGAAATTTCCACGCCTTACAGTAATAATTAGTTGTTTTGTTTCGATAATTTTTTCTGACAATCTGCTTTCACTCTGAATCTCTCACGAAAGTTTCAATTTATGTATAGCAATTTTTACAAGCGTTTGTAATTGTAGGTTATGTGAGAGGACAGACACGGGGAATTAGGTTAGCGGTATGAACGAACGTGCGGTTCAGTAATTATACTCGTTCCCTTTTCTGCGTTACTGCAAAGGGAATATTGGATGCGAAACAGTGAACGGCATTTGGAAATTTTTGTTATTTAATGTATCACGTGTGCACACAGAGCGCGAATGAAATTTACGTGTCTCTCTCGTTTTGTTGGAATTCAACGGTGATCCAGTTGTCGCATTTGTACACCGTGTAGCTGGATGTTTGACAAATGCCGACAGCCGGATTCAATTGAAAACAACAGTCAGGCTTGGTGGGGACAAAAAAAATCTCGCATTGAGAACGACGAATAACGTCGCGAATTTTCACCGAGAGAATCGGTATTCGCGAAAATACCGTGCTAATTGTTGGGGGCGTATGCTGAATCCACGCAATACCGTCCCGGTTTATTCGTAGTGCCGTCTGATGTGTTCTCGAAGGACCATCCAACTCCTAAGTTGAGAGCTGTTGTTTATTTCGGTCAGTGTCTGTCGCTGGTTGAAAATGCCTTGATTCTTGCTTCCTCGGAGTTTTCTGGTGTTCTGTCTTCACTCCTTTCCGAAGGAAACGGCGCCCCTTCCTTCCTCTAACTGCACGCTGATTGGGCAATTTGGGAAAATTCCTAAACCCAATCAGCATGCTTCAGTGACATCGCAACACCCTTCTCCTGCGCCCTCAACACGCGTTACATTGGAGCTGGGGTGACGATGTCCTGACCTGAGAGTGGCGATGTCTGGCAACGGCGGGGAACTTCCGCCAGGTTCTACTTTGGGGTGGCGATGTCCTGACCTGAGAGTGGCGATGTCTGGCAACGGCGGGGAACTTCCGCCAGGTTCTACTTCGCCGGACTCTTGACCGTTGCGAATTTCTATGTCGACCCTTTGGAAGGCACTTGGCTATTGAGGACGAGAGAACACTCATGCTAACTACTCGACACTCGTGCTAACAATAACCGAAATCCTAATCTGAAAAACAGCCTCTTTCCCACGTCCGTGCCGTAAATCGTTGCGCTCAACACTAGTATTTTCTTATCGTGCAAACTTTCCGAAAAGATATGAAAAAAATTGAATCAATTCAAAGAGACGCGTAATGTCGAAAATTTCGAATAGGATTAAAAAAGAGAATCTGTATTTTGCGAAGACACCATTTTGCAATAGTATTTTCTTATCGTGCAAACTTTCCAAAAAAAAAGAAAGAAAGAAAATTGAAGCAATTCAAAGAGACGCGTAACGTCGGAAGTTTCGAAGAGGATAAAAGAAAACAGGGATCAACGGGTAAATAAATTTGCATATTCGCAAATTGATGCAATGAGCGTTCGGCAAATGCTCCACAAACCCACAAAACGAAACAGCGGCTAAAATCACCGAACTCTCGTCGCTCCATTTCCATAACGCAAATTGCCACGCGAAGGAACGCCTTCGATGCTACCCAATAAACATACGCCCCTGCACACATAACCTAACAAACACGCGTCATACGTAAACATATGTATATTAACGAAATAACAGTGAGATCGAAGAATCACAGAGTATTCGAAGTAGCGTGTAGAGATGAACACTGTAGAGAAGACTACACGTACGATGCTTGGAAGATCGTAAGAAGCTGTGGTAACTTTTCGAAAATCGTATCTAGCGAGATATGAAAGATTGTCACCGTAAGTTTTGGCCACGTTCGACACTCGAGCGTCACGGAAGCTCGTGTAATTTTCTTCCATGTCGTTGCCTCTGAAATATTCCTCGCTTACATCAGCTCCGTCGAAGCTTTTTCCCATTTGCTGCGCGAGATTACACCGAGCATCGGTTGTAAACGATGCGCCGCGAAGCGCGGTGTTTCAAAACAGCTGTCTGACCGCGCGAAACTATATTTCATAGTAAAAGTGGGTATAGATGATTGGGAATGGGAGGGAGATCGATTCTCCGTAAATTGGAAATATTTCAAGGAAAAACTGAATTATCTCGATTTAGATCGTTGGAATTGAAGTATTCAAATTTCAGTCAGAATTTTATTGGGTTCATTGAAATTTTCAATATCTTGAATTTCGTTGGTTAATCTTCAAATACGAACAGTTTGAATCTGATTGGCTGAATTCGATTGAATTTCATTGGCTGAATTTCAAATTCGAATAGTTTCAATTTTACCGACTGAATTCAAGCGTTGCTTGTTTAATTACATTGGCTAATTTCCAATTTTCCATATTTTGAATTTTATTGGCCGAATTTAAATTTCGAATAGATTGAATTTCATTGGCAGAATTTAATTTTCAATTACATTCTACTTTGTTTTGAATATTTCGAATTTCAGCGGCCGAATTAAAATTTTGAATACTTAGAATTTGATTGACAGAATTTTATTCTGCTTTGTTTTTATTATTTCGAATCCGCGAAGAAAATAATTTCACAATGTCAGAATCTCTAATAATCTTACTTTTTCTCAATAATCTACACACTCTTAGGATGAAATATAGTTTTTCGCTGTCAGACAGCTGTTTTGAAACACTGTGCGCCTCGCTTCCCTAACGGGGGCCCCCTTAAAGACGCGCGCAGACAAGTGATTAACAACGCAGATCGTCAGTCGTGGTGCTGTCAGCCCATGGGAATTGGAAGTGAATTTTCTACGAAGATACGACGTGGAAGAAGAAGAAGAAGAAGAAGAATCGAACGATTCATTCTGGGTACTCGATTAGCTTAATTCGATTTGCTTGACTCTGTATTCACTCTTGGAACACGATGTTGGTTGAGATGTTTAGCGAGGTTATGAAAGATTCTTTGTTAGACGTTTCACATTTGACAAGTAGATAGGCTGTTGATTACACGGTTGTGTAGTTACGAGTGATACTTACGATTAAGACGAATTGATCGATGATCTTGTAATTATATACGATGGGTTTGTAATTGTTTAAATTGTATACATACATGGATTTTGCTGTGATTATCGAAGGGTCGAGTTAAAAGTTGTTTTTTTTTTTTTTTCTAAGTACAAGGAATAGTCAGCGGATTTTTACAGCGGTACGACAGGAGGAGATGAGAAACGCTGGCGTGCTCGAATTTCGTGACAGGTACGCGAGACTACTTTAAAATTTAAATGATCCGTGTCCGTGTCCGTCAGTGCCACCTGTAAGTCCAATTTAATTTGGCGTCGCGCGCGGCCAGAAGCAGGCGTCGCTGGAGGATTTAATTTTTCCGCGTTTGTTATGGGGGACTAAGAGGGAGACAGAGGGAGAAATGTAGTGACAGAGAGAGAGAGATAATGAGAGAGATGGAGTCATAGGGAGAGACAAAGAGAGAGATGGAGTGATAGCTGGAGTCATAGGGAGAGAGAAAGAGAGAGATGGAGTGACAGAGAGAGGTAGAGCGATAGATGGAGTCATAGGGAGAGGCAAAGAGAGAGATAGAGCGATAGATGGAGTGACAGAGAGATAGAGGAGGAGAGAGGAAATGACAAAGAGATGGAAAGGGAGAGGTGGACAAAAAGAGACGGAGTGTCGGAGTGATAGAGAGGAAGAGATGGACAGAAAGATGGAACGACAGAGAGATGGAGAGTGTGAGATGGAGTGACAGAGAGACAGAGAGGGAGAGATAGAGAAAATGACAGAGGTGGATATATCTATGGAGAGAGAGGGGAGGGGGGTGCACGCGTGATGGAATCAATTTTTGCGGGACAATGCCCGGAATTATATTCATACCGTGCCACCCCCTCTGCGCTGAATATTTCAAAGTCCCGCGCCACCGGCGATAACCGTATCTTTTACGCAACGTCGACGCTGAACTATCGAGCTGCTTTTCGTTTTTATGGCCCACGATCGACTTTACGATCGGCACCGTACGCAGAATCGAACCTACTCCCCCGATGTACCGGGTCGAACTGTTGTTATTAACACATTACCAGTCATGCCCCAGCTATATACGAGCGGGTAGTTTCCTAAAGAGTTGTAAAGGTGTGTGTATACAGCGCATCTTACGGACAGCATCTAATAAAATTCAAACAAAATCACAAATTCCTGGATCCTTCGTCCCAAAGTAGCAATTACTATTATTGGCCATAATAGAAATTTTCGATAATTAAAAGTCTTCTAAAATTACCTCAAAAATTAGAAAAATATCTTCCAAAAAATTCGGAAATTTTGGGTAATTAACACGTTGACTGCCACGGTGGTCATATGTGACCGCAGATTGTTTCTCCTGCAGCGCCACGGTGGTCATCGGTGACCGGAGTGCTTCAAATGTTTATAATTGTAAAAGTTGAACGAACATTGACAGTTGATGAATTTTGAACATCATCGCTGATTAGAGAATACTTTGAAGTAAAATGTGCACTATTCGACAATTAACAATTTTTACTAGGAGATCAAAAATGAGAGATTAAGTTTCATCAAATTTTCTATCTACCGGTGTATTGTATCAAAGCATTTCAG